TGAAAATAGCAGACGAACATACCATCTGCATATTCCTGCAACTTTTTGCCTCATCGTGTTGAAAGTGACAAGGGGTCACGATAGTGAATTAGCTGATTGCTGATGTGCTCTCTGTGTGAAACAGGCCACAAAATGAAAACACTAGATGGAATAAATAGTTGACCTGGCACTCACTCCTCAGGCCGTTATATGAAATGCAATTGCCAGAAAAGTGATGACATCATCTCATAATGCCACTGCTGATTGTCTCTCTGTGCGGCTACACAATGAAAGCTACAAATGACTATTAAGTCTGTATATGCCCGCAACACACTCTCGGCACAATTATTGTGTTGAAAGTCAAGTGTCAGACAAGCAGCGACGTCATCTTAATGATTTGATTGCTGATTGATTCTTTGTATGAAACAGGCTACACAATGCAAACAGCAGACGAGTAGTGGTAGAGGGGCTGCCTTACCGTCCAGGTTGCCGACTTGGCCGTGCTGGACTGCTGGAAGGACACGTCGAAGGTGTGCGGGCCGGCGTAGTCGGTGTTGGACGGAATGGCGGGCGAGGGCGACAGGGCGTCAAAGGTGGAGCTGGGCTGGGCGTAGGGCGATGGCGCCGTGACGCCGTTTTGGGCGTGCTCCGTGTTGTACGGGCTGGTGGACGTGGAGCCTCCGTTCTGGATGTTCTGCTCCATGCTGTTCAACAGGCCCAGGTTGGTGTACTGAGACTGCGGGGGGGACAGAAAAGGGTTTTCATGTTTAAATTTAAGCTCCGCATGGCATCAAACTGTATTTTCTTCACCGGAAACAGGAGTGATTATGGGATAAAGTGACATCAGAACCACAACGGCGATTGTGCTGGCTCAATTGACATATTTGAGTAAGCTTGGCTTGTTAAGATAGTGATCAGTAGGAATTTCAACTGTGTCAGGCCGTGAGCATCAAATGCTGTCCACTGTAGTATAACCGCTGTCCCAGAAAGGGTTAAACTGCCAGCTGCACACCGAGCGAGGAGACCAAACTAGCGTGAACAGGACTGAACTGTTTATGTGCATCATATCGTAACTGTATAAATCAAAGATACACATGCATTTAAATTTTGATCAAAGACACCAAGCAAGACAGGAAACCACAAAACCCATCATGTATTGCGGCATGCGCAGGATGTTCGCGGAGCCGTTTTCCAGGTTTGGGCAAATGTGATTCATGATTTTGATTTGATTAATTTTTTCTTTATTTTTGTTGATGCTTACAGCTTATAGCTAAAAAACAACCCCAAAAAAGACAATATCTCAAGAATATTACTTAAGAAAGAACCCCCAATTTTTATTTTGGAAATTCGGTAGGAATTTGAATGAATCCATATTCAGTATCAGTTCCACTTTTTGAATATTCCCTGCAATGAATGAGATTTTCAACATAACCCAAAATCTCTGCCAGATGCTTTGAGTTCAAAAAACACCCCAAGCTAAATTTACCGTAACTCTTCTCCGACATACATCAATCTTCGAACGGTTGAGAAGCATCGCTTCAATATATTTCTTAAACATCAACTACTACTTTCCTACTGCCCAATGGCTTTGGTAGCATCCACAGAATAAATTTGTGAATAGCAAACCACAAATAGGTGGAGCTTCACTGTATGCGATTTATTATTGTTGAATATTAATTGCTGAAGCTTTCTTAAATCTGCTCAAATTTGGAATCGACACAGGAGGAGAAGGTTCAAATATTCAGGTTGGCATTTTATGTTTCTTGTTAGTCTAATTGCCACATGTCATTACGTAAAAGTATCTATAAATCAACCTTGATCTTTATATCCTGTATTTTGTATTTCACGCAGAGCGGCGAGGGATTATGTGACACCTGAGCACTTAAAAATACCCCACAGTCTGGTCCCGACTCCTGAAAAACCTGCGAAGAGATCAAAGCTCAATGGTGCTAAGCACAGTTGGGCGCTAATGGCTAACGCCGCTCAAAAAAAGACATCCTCACTTTCCAGGAGATAAAAGATCCAAAACATAGCCGTCTTCAAACGCGGCCATGCCGTTCCGTTTATAAGCACCGCATTCCGGGACGGCCATCAATCTGTCGTGGATTTATTTCCAGCCCCTCCCGGAATGACCACAGCTGTCTCTTCCACTCGACCCCCCCCCCCTCTCTCTCCCCCCCCCCCCCCCCCCCCCACCCCGGCTGGCCAGGTGTTAGCGCACCCTTATGAAACGCTGCTTTGACACACGCGCACATAAACACACATGAGGACACGCACACGCCGCCGCCACCGCAACGGGGTCATCCGAGTGCGGGCAGGATGCGGGTCAAAAGCCCAACGAGGCACCGCTAAGCTCCGGAAAGAGCGCCGTTCAAAAGGGTCTGGGGGACACAATAGTGCAGGCCATGCAGGTGTTGACTTTGTTCCAGCTCGAATTTTGTGTTGGTGTCGTTTATAAAGAACAGCGACTTGGGGAAACGAGACAAAAAAACTTGCACGGGCAGTATAAACTTCTCATGCCACATCACGGGAGGAAAATTGCCAGGGAGGCTTCAAAAGATGGAAAAAAACGGGGAAAAGAGACAAAAAGGGGCTCCTGATACGACAACCAAAGGTGTGAAATTGTTGGGTTGACTTTTATCACCACAAAAGTACACATCGAAGCCAGAAATCATTCTTACACAATTCCGTCTTTTCCCCGAATGAGTGACATCACCGCCTCTTCGAGTAGCGGCGGTGGGGGTGTGTGCTGGTAGGGGTGCGCTACGATGACGCCGAAGCGACAGGCGATAATGATCAAATAACAGTGGGAAGAAAAACAAAGGCATCGGAATTCCAGCCGCTTGGGAATAAACACCCGGTCATCAAGGATTTGCTGTTTAATTGACTGGAAATCAGGATCACGCCTTCGATTAAAAAAAAAAACAAAACTGAATTCTCCTTGATGTGACTCTGCCATAATGGCCGTTTAATAAGTGCCTCCGGAACATTCCCAGGACTTTGGGAATGTAGATCAAGATCCTTGACAGGCTCAGCAGCCTTTCCCCCCCCCCCCCCACCCACCACAATGTCACCAAGTCTGCTTGAAGCCTCTTTGAGGCTGACTGGGGGGGAGAACATGCAGAGAGGAAAGAGAATGCAGGGCACAAGCTTTTCTGACCAACACAGCGACTTATATTAACCACGAGGCTCCTTCTCGCTACATACTGTTGAAAGCGTTCGAGAGAATAGGTGCAAACATGCAATGGTTTACAGATACATGGGGCATTGCCGCAAACACAATTGTTTTCAGTCATTTGCGCACTATTTTCTTTGACTGTGTACATTTGAAAGAAATGTCAGCCTCTGTAATCCTGCTCTCTATGCCTACAGAAAGCTACAGCTAGTAAGTTCGTTTTATTAAGTACATCTTTGGGCATGATTGTTGATAATTCGCACACTTCCGAGGTTGCGGGCACCACGCTTTCGGACTCCGTCAGGCATTCAAGCCGACTTGGCCCGAGGGAGGGGTTAGCATGAGTGACCAGAGTGGCTGGAGGGGTTATGGGAGGTGGGGTCATTAAAGGAGGTGTGTCTGGGTGGAGGTGGGTGGTTTTTTTGAGGGGGGTGGGTTGGTAAAGGTGGTGGTCTCTCCGCACCTATGGCAGCAGGTGATTGTATCAACATCAACACACCATCACAGCAATTATCAGCCCCGGACGGACGCATTGTCCGCTTCTAAGGGGGCTCGTGGGGGCTGTGGAGCTTTGGGGGCGGGGGGCTTTGCAACACGATCCCCCTCGGCTCTGCGGTGGCACTGAGCCGGACACCACTTAAAGACCCCCACCCCACACCGCCCGCTTTGCTTAACAACAGGTTGAAAGACAGTGACCCCCACACACCTGCTAAACGCTACCTGCAATCTGAGAGGGCCACCGCACACACCCACGTACCAAAGTAAACCAATAAATATATAAAAATGTAATTTCCCATGTTATTTTAAACTTACGATCACCAAATCCACAAAAAAAAAAAAAAACAATGTACTTGCAAAAAAAAGTTTTTTCTGGTTTTCTGAAAACATTCAACTATGACTTAGGCAACTGCGCTAACTAGCTTAACGATATACAGTCGGGCCCTATTGACAAAATAATGACAGAGCTTGCCAAGACCTTTGAATTTGAGTTGTGACTCCACTTGGTTAGTTACAGAAAGAAAATAATTGTTCGCGGAACACGGGTCTCCCGAAACATATGACTTCGGCGACTATGCTATCAACCTAGCAATATTAGCAAAATGCATATTTATTCAAAATAAATGTATTAAAATAAAAGCTAAATGAAATCTTGATATCCACGATGCGTATTTCAAGGATGTAAAAAAGTAAATCAAATACATAATTGAGCATACGTCATCAAATATAAACAAACGGTTGCATTTTTATATTTTCGAAATAGAAAATGCTTTAAATCTAATAAAACACACAAATATAACAATAAATAATCTTTTTTTTTTTTTTAATACCATAACATAATCATTTTTATGATGACAAATATCCACAACTAGCTGTCTGCATTGACAACATTCCGGAAAACTATCGAGGTGGACATTTCCCACTTCCGCCTCTGGGAAAAGTACAACGGAATACAAGTCGCACACCACAAACAATTGACTGTTGTCATCCTAACCCCGGTGACCCAGGCCTCACGCTTGCACCAAAGAAAAAAAACCCCAACAAAAAAGACTGGGAAATGCTTTCAAAGCACCTCAACTGACTGTCAAAATCACAACGGCGGCTCACGTTGACATCAATCACAGCATTTGACTTTCAGAGCCAAGAAACCCCGATTGCTTTTCCAAAGTCAGCAACTCATTTTCACTTTTGTACCACCAAAGTGCGCAGCCAGGTGCGCTTCACCTAAATGCATCAAATAAATCACAACTTTTCACATGCGGAAGCTCCGGGAAACATCAAAGACCCCCCCCCCCCCCAAAAAAAAGAAGCCCTCAATTAAATGTTGACGCAGACTGTGTTTTTCTAGGTGTGGTTCACCCACACGCGTCGGAAGCCAGAAGAAATCGACAAGACATACAGTTGCAGATTACAAACACAAGCTCAGGCCGTGAATTCAACAGAAGCTGCTCATGCGGAAATAAAAATCGAATGAAAAACACAATTGTCGTTTTTGTTTACCAAGGTGTGGTCATGTTGTGGAAAAAAATCAAAATGACAAGAAATGACATTTCCACCAGACATGGACGGAAGCTTGTCACACAAAAATAAACATCAAACTACAAACAAGATGCGTTTTGAAATCCAAATGACAGAAATGACATTTAATTTTAGTTGGTGCGCAACGGGACAGTTGCACAGAATCCGAAAGAAGCTACAAACGCAAAACAACTTAGCAATCAATTTAGAGGACTCTTGTGCAGTTGGTAGGTGGGATCTTGGGATCTCAAATGTGTTGGGGGAGAGATTCTAAATATGATTCACGTTGCTCAAAGAAATCAAAATGGCATACGTTTCAGTTTCAGCATATATACAATATACATCCAAGTAAGGCCTTTAAATCAATTTCGGCAAAAAATAAAATGCCCCTCAAATGGAAAACTTGTCAGGAAAAACATCCCAAGTTGTGTTTTTCAAGGTGTGGTTTATGTCACCCTGAGAAATCAATCCGTCTTAAACTGCAGCTGCTGAGTGTCCAGCGGAAGCTCTGAATTGAGAAAAAAAAACCATCCGAGCACTGCCGAGGAAGGGATTTTTACAAATTCCAAGTGCAGTATTGCTGTAAAAATAAATAAATAAGTAAAAAAAATCTAAACAGCATTGAAATGACGCAAGAGTGTAAATAAATAAATAAATAAATAAATAAATAAATCTAAACAGCATTGAAATGATGCAAGAGTCCAGCTTATGTACAAAAGCTACAGTTAAGTCTGACAGATTTTGTCAATATTTTGGATTCACAAAAAATAGACATAATGATGACGAAATGAGTGGACGTTTATATCCAATATTATTAACATTTTGCTTTTCTTTTTGAATAAATCAACAATTGCCTTGAGATTTTTCAGGATCCCCCCCCCATAAAATATTGTTCTTCCGGAAGAATGAAAAAAAATGTTTTTGAAAAATATAGTGAATGACTGACAATTGTTTCAAAATTTTCAGAAAAAAATCGAATATTCCTCCTCCAGAAGATTAGATTAGATTAGATATCCTTTATTTGTCCCACACTGGGGAAATTTACAGCCTTCAGCAGCAAGATTGTGGGTAGAAAGAAGAGAAAAGAAAAGAAAGAAGAAGAAAGAAGAAGGAAAGAAAAAGTACCAAAAGAAAAAAAAAACTCTTGAAAAGACAGTTGACGCTTTCAAAATCTAAGCGCGCGCCGTTTTGCCCGCGCATCCAGGTGTTTACATTCCTCGCATCACAACATTCCGATGCAGCAAATCCAATTCAATCAAATAAAATCCCAATTAATCCAAGATTTGGGTTATTCTTTTGGGCGAGGGGTGGGGGGTGGGGGGGTAGGGGCGAATCCTGCCAATTTGAGGCCCGTGAACCTGAACGCTTACCTCGCTGTAGGGCGTACTGGTGCCCGTCTCCAGGTACAACATGTTGGCGCTGAGATTGAGCAGGGCGGCTGCTGTTTGCTCCACCGGCTCCAGGATTCCCCCCTGAAAAATCTTTACTTGACACGGAGCGCAAATGACGCTGAATCGGTTGTGGTGGCGGTTCGGGGTGACGGGGGTGGGGGTAAGACGGGATGCTTAGTTAGCAACGTGGAGGGGCGAGGAGAAAAAGAAGAAGAAGCTCCAGACAGAATCCATGGGAGGGCTCTTATATACTGTGAAGTCGGTCGTGGGAGGGCGGGGTTGGAAGATCTACCTGGGAGCTACCTGAGTCCACGCCCATCCTGGGATAGAAGAGGTTGCCGCTTTCTCCCCCGAAAAAACACCTCGAGTACTTTTGTCCCAATGGGAGGGAGAGAGAGAAAACTGGAAACTTGAATATCCGATTCAAGTTTTTACTTGACATTTTCCAAAAGTGCTAACAAACCGCTACGCCAATAAAGCAAATGGCTAACACACAAAACAACTCCCGCCAAAGAAAGTCCGTTACAAACGAGGGTCTGTGGACAGAGTGAGAGTTGCGGCAGTCAGCTTCGTTAGCATACCAATGACCTCTCCCGAGCAACAATAATTGACCCCCCCCAAAAAAAGTACCCCCCCAACCACAACAACGTCGATGCTTTGTACTGCATTGTATCATCACAAACAACTGCTGTCGAAGTGTCAAGTCGGCAGTGCACCATATGTCGAAAGCTCCAATACTTCTGATGCGATTCACTCCAATTCTGATGCGATTCGGCAATCGCAATGTGCCGTATGCAAAGTAATATTTAATACTAAGAAATAAAATAATAAATTAGTAATTACGCAACATCATAAGACTTTACGATATGATACGATTCACTCCGGTTAGGACACATTTCACTCCAATTACGACGCACGATTGACACCAATTCCGATACGATTTACGCAATCGTATCTAATTACGATATGATGCAATTCAACTACGATACAATAGGATCTCCTCTAATTTCGAAAAAAGGATTCACGTCAATTAGGACGTGTGCATTATTTTCCTCACTCGCAGTATTTCCATCTCCACTCGCGTAATGTTCCAACGCTTCATCCCAACTGACTCTGAGGTTCCCCTTCCAGCGCAGATGCCTCCGAGTGTTGTTTTAACATGATTAGAAGTTTGTTTAGGTGGGCTAATGATCCCCCTCACAAGGCTGCCGGAGACTTTAAAGTGTTGATGTGTTGACCCCCCCCACTGCTGTGGGCCCCCGCCCCAGGCTGTGTAACACAGGGTGGGGCTGCTGATTGGAGACACTGACGAACTGGAAGCGCTCACCGCTCAAGTCCTTCGAGAATTTATTCTGACCAAAGGGCAACAGGCTACGCTTCCTCATACTAGGTGCACGTGGACCTTTATTATGCGCACGCACACACACACACACTCAAATTTCCAGCTGCTTCCACTGAAATTCTACTTAGAAACCTATTTATTTCCCTCCCGAAGCCAGACAATGTGATTACAGACAATCAAGAGAACTTCCTGATAAAATTCCCACAGTAGGGACACATGTGTACGACAGTAGTACACTCCACTTACAAAATTAATTGGTTCTGGAAGAAATTTCTCAACGAGAAAGGTTTGTAAGTAGGGACGCGTTTTGATTAATTGGTTCTGGAAGAAATTTCTTAACGAGAAAGGTTTGTAAGTAGAGACGCGTTTTGCATGTAAATGCCCTAATCCGTTCCAAGCCCCCCAAAATGCAGACATAAATGTTTTCTCGAGTACAAAAATGCATCAAAATATGCAACAAATGCATGTTACAATTACATTATTGCGCAATAAATGAGAGTTGTGCAAAATGTAAAATACATAGAATAGAGTCAAGAATAAAAATGATGGTCATTGAACTTTTAACTGCATCCTCATTGTTTTTTTGCCCTCTTGTTCTCTCTCAGAAGTGGTTTTTGCCTGGCGTTTTGTAAAGAACTGCTCCAAGGACGTTTGCTTTTGTCGGCTTTTAACAATCCTTCGAAAATATCCAAGGCGAACATCAGCATAGAGAGTGATCGCCCGACTGGTGAAGACTTTTCATGCCGTGCTAAGCTGCCACTGTGATGAACAGTTTCCTACCCCGGTCAGTACTATTTTGATTAGCAACAGGTAGGGCTAAGTAGCAGGAACATCACCATCCATGACATGAGATAGTTGCACTGACTTTTAAAGTAGCTCCCTTCCCTCCGGAACCGACAATAATGTGTTTCTCTTCAGACGCAACGTTAACAAACAGCGTGCCAGCAGCTTACTGCAATTGCGCATTGACTCGATACAATTTCTGCCATCCTGAGCAAAGAAACAAAACATTGATTGACTTTTACCAGCGACGACTCCAGGAAGAGACGGGAAGCACTAACGCAAAGACGTAACGCGATCTCCCCCCCCCGCTCCCGAGTGACGACCGTGCCACTCTTACACCTCTGAAAAGGTGCGCCGTCGCCACCTAACCCTTCCCCCCCTCCCATCCCCGCACCCCGATAGCCCCTTGACTCAACACACAGCTGATCCTCGTGTTATCAATGTGTAAAATCAGCTGTTTGTGGGGCAGGATATAACGTTTCTTCTCCCACTACATTCCTCACTGTTATTCTACCCTCTGTTTGCATTACCCTAACCTCCACCACTACACTTTTACATGGGTGGGGGGGAGACATCAGCACTGATCGATGAGAGACGGGACTTGTGTTAAATTGTTGCCCCGCAGCTACAAGAG